CATGCACTGCAGTCAATGTAAGCATTTTAGGAGGAAGTGTGTACTATTATCAGTAAAAGAATTGGCATTGCATACATTACAATGAATGGCAGTGTCACGTACAGAGCTAGTGTGTGTACATGTATATGTAATGAACATTGTAAGTAGCGCTAGTATAATCAAAGGACAACAGCTATCACTTGATCCTTTATACTAACATTAAATGGAAAATATTATGACTATCCTTGAAAACAAGTTTGTGTATGCATGTTCAAATGGTAGTATCAATGAAAGACATGCTGTATTGAGCTGCCCTAATGATAAACATGTATAGTTCATACAGTTACATCATGTACATTATGTAGTGATGATGGTGTGATGTGTGGATGTGCTTACCTTCAGCTTTCAGTTGCTGAAGGTAATCTTTTGCAAGACGTAGTCTCTTCTCTGGTGCTGTCTCCTCTCTATCACTGAAATCTTCATCAATACCAAGAGACTGGTAATCTCTAAGTAAAAATATGTTTCGTTATTATAATAGTATAGTACATCTGTACATGTATCAAGGAAGAATTAGTATAGGATAGCTATGCTTATTGAAACATCATGACCAGTGATCAGTGGGACTGTCCCAGGGGAGACACCTGTAATATAAGAAGTGGCTAACATGTATTTACAGGAAAGTAGCTCCCACACAAAAGGGAGGAGCTACTCATATCACCACTGATAAGAAGAGGCAAAGAAGGAAGAGAAATAAAGTTAAAATGGCAGGTAACGAAATCGAGATGGATGAAGAGTTAGATCTTTTGGAAAAGATGAAAGCAGAAGCCAAAACCAATGAAGCTCTGGCAATCGTAATGTGCATGGATAATCTAAGCAAAGGTCTGTCAGCATCAATTGTTAGCATAGCTGGGGAGTGCTATGCTCAGGAAATGATAGATGAAGATATCTATGATTGGATGTTTGATGGTGAATGGAAACCTGACAATGCAAGAGCTCAGTTACTTGTCAGATGCATTGAAAAAAGGTTTAAGGAATATGAAAGGGATGGAATGAATATTGAAGCAGCACTTGAAAGTTTAGCAGAAGTGATAAGAAAAGAAGCCAGTTATGAAAATATAGCTAGGCTAGTAGGTAAGAAAAGGTTTGTTTTTATGAATAAATAATAATACACATTCATGTAGATAATTGCAAAACTGCCAAAGATTTTAGAAAAATCTCCAAGAGAATATCCACTGGCATCACATCATCTCTAACTACCATTGCAATGGGAGCAGTGGCCAAAGGAATAATCTCTTATTCCGAGTGTGTGGCATGCACTCAAGGAGATGCTAGTGAAGAGGCTAGGCGTACACAACTTGTCCTCCAGCAAATATTCCATGGAGCAGCTGAGAACCCTGATGTACTATACGACTTTATGAAGATTCTTGAGGATAAAGGAAAACCAATTAGCAACCAATGTGATGGAATAAGTAAAGCAACTTTATTGTGATTCTTAATAAATAATATCTATTACATAGGAACGGCACTGTCACAGTTGTCAATAAATACTGGTCTAGAGGATACAGATGGTGGAAGGTGAAGATGAACAGATGAAAACATCGCCTTAAACTGATATTAACTTTGTTAAACTTTCTATAAATAAATATATTTTTCTACTTTAAAATGAAATGACTCAAAAATGAAAAGCACAGCATAGCATAGCATATAATGTGCTGACACATATGCATGACGTCATACACTCAATGAATCCATTTAACTGAGCAGGAAACTAAAAGACAGATAGACAGATTAGGAAAAACAAGAGGAAAGAGAGCAAGAAAGAGAGAGAGAAAGCATGGGAGACCAACTACTTGAAGTTGATAGGAAGATGAAGGAAGAAGCAACCAATAAAGAAGGAAGGGCATTCCTTGAGAACATCTCCAGACTACAGCTAGGCCTGTCATCTACCATAACAACAGTAGCTCTGCACTGCTATTCCAAAGAGCTCATTCCTGGTCAAGTCTATGAAGGAATGTTTGAAGGAGAATGGAGTCCAGAGTATTCAAGGGCTCAATACTTCCTCAATTGTGTGCAAAAGAAACTGAAGCAATATGAAGACCTTGAGGACACTACAGGAGCTGTGAAAAGAACCATCACAACTCTTGCCAGCATAATAAGAAGTGACAGTGCCCTAGAGCACATAGCCAAAATACTAGGTAAAGCTATAACCAAATGATAATAAGAGAATGCATACTTTATCTACAGTATACAAGCTATAGTGTTATTTCAAATATGTGATAATAATATGAATCCA